CCATGCTATGGATGGAAAATTCTCTTTTATAGGGATCATGTGGGTAGCATGCTTCGACCATCAGAGCTTAGGTAACTTTTATCATGAAGGCGTCGGTTGAAGGGCCAAGATCATTCTTCTTGAGAATAATCTACTGACGGGCCCTAAGATTTTTCCGTAATCTTATCCCTAATATATGGAGAGTTCTTTGCAAAAAGTCCATATGGTCCCAAACGCCTATCATAGACTTAATCACTGCTCCTATGCTCAGATGAGCTATTGTCAGTGGAAGCTTCAGTGATATTGGATCTGCTCATAACCCTTAGCGAAGGTAGGGTTCAACTTTGTGATCCAACTCCGGTTTCTTGGCTGTCCAGAAGATGGAGTTTGTCTGGAGTTAATCTGTAGCGGCGATAAGAATCATGTGGTACATGTTCAAGCCAGACAATTACCATAGTGGTGTGTCTTCTCCAGGAGGGCTTTCGGGGTTCTGGAAGCAGTCCCATCATCTGGTGGATGACCTGGTTGGCAAATACTCCCCGGAAAGCTGTAGGAGCCCTTGAGGGCTAAGTCTATGCTAGCTCGTCATAAGATTAGGCTAATCCTCTTTAGCTTGAATGATGCAACTCCTGACTTAATTTAGCTTGAATGGTGCAATTCCGGTATTGTTCTTCAGGGTGATTAAAATCAAACCCTTGATCAAAACTTGGTATGTCTTCTCGAAAAAGAACAGTGGCCCCACGATGGGCGCCAAACTGTGCAATTCCGGTATTGTTCTTCACGGTGATTAAAATCAAACCCTTGATCAAAACTTGGTATGTCTTCTCGAAAAAGAACAGTGGCCCCACGATGGGCGCCAAACTGTTGATGCTCGATATCAAACAACCAAAAATTCTCGGAGAGGATGGTTGAGGGATGATGAGGGAAGATAAAGGGCCCGTTCCCTTCTCTGATTTTATACCTAGTTCTTGAACAAGGGTTTGATGTCCACGCTGCACAGACAAGAAGAACTCGTGAGAGGGCGGGGATCGGTTCCTCCGTGTTTCCTCTGATGGTCAAGTTAGTTCATGAACTTAAGCTTGAGTAGAGTATTGAACTATGTGTTCTTATGTTATGTGCATTAGAGATGATCATCTCTCAGATTGGGTCAAGAGGAAGATTCAAATTGCCTTTTTTGCTTACCTCGCTCTGATGGTCAATAGTATCCATATATAGAGTAGCGCTCCTCTGGCAGATTCGTTATTTCAGCCATGCAGAATGGCGGTGACCAAGTGTGATATGGGAGGTGAGTCATCCCTTGTTTTATAGGTGTTGGCTGGCGACTAGAGGGAAAGTCATCTCAGCATGGGAGAGGGTATCTCCGTGATTTTTGGGATGTGACTTGTGAGTGTCGCAGAAGTCACGTAGGCATACTGAGTCATCCATCGCTTTACAGATGTCGGCTGACGACTGAAGGGGAAGTCGATTCATTATGGGAGAGAGTGTCTCCGTATTTTTTAGGAAGTGATTGAACTGACAAGTCATGGAGGCTTATTGGGCTAAGATCTGGATAAGGCTTATCCGAGGTGGACTGAGATATCTACATATGCTCTGGGGGAGAGGCTTAAGACCGGGGTCAAGTCCTCAACTTAGTCGACAGCAGGGAATGTCCCTTAAGTCGTTTTTGAGAAATGCCCAGTGAATGGTCGAGTGTCCTAAATAGGGTCGTCCTTGATGATAAGATCGACCAGCATCGACTTTCGGGTTGTGACGCCCCAGGATTCACACAAGGCTATAGTCCAAGGTGAAACCTGAATTGTCAAATCTGCCAAACACCAAACATCATGCTACAACATGTTTCACCATCACAGTCACTATCTCTCTAATGGAATCAACACATAGGTGAAGGTACGAAACAGGCGAATGATGGAAGTAGAGCAACACCATATATACACAGAAGAAGCATGAAAATAATCATCAGTGAGCCCAACAAAATAAGATAGAGATATCTCTGAGTCTGAAATAAACCTCAAGTACAAAGAGTCAAATAAGGTACCACTATGGCTCTCAATCTCTACAAAATAAAATACAAGTCTAGAATCTGACATAAACAACTAACTGTGGGGTTCTAAAATAACTACTAAATAATAAATAACTTGATGGAATCTATGAAAAATTCTCATCAACCTGCGACTCTCCGTGCGTCGAACTCGCTGCCTGAAAGAGGGGAAAACAACGGGCGTCAAAGCGCTATAACGAGATCATCTCCACCTCTCCCCAGGGGAAGGGGTAGGAGAATATAGAAAAATAGAGTTAATACATATACATATGAAATCATTCATAAAATTCTAACTGGAAATTAATATTTAGAAAATCACAACACGAGAGTTAGTACGTCGAGCGAAATAATCCAAACAAGGAAACCCTCATGTATATACCATTTCTCAAATTGTTACTCCCTAAATACCAATTCCGAACTCTATGAATAATAACAGTAAACCAAAAGGAAAACAATCCAAACCTCAATCAAATATCCGTCTCAATTTATACTCGAAAAGACAACTCTAACATAAGAGGGATCTCATCCAAAACAAAAATTAACTATGAGCCATATCATGTGAGCCACGATCCCAAAGAAAATACCCTACTTACGGGAATCCAATATGAAATCAAAGTACGACAAATAAAACTTACATGTGTGCATCTCCATATGCAATAGCGATACTTTTGTAATATTCTTACTCAATCGCTCTGTGGAAATAGGTATCTCCCTATCCCGGGATACAATGAAATGACGATACTTTTGTGATATTCTCACTCAATCGCCCTACGGAAATAGATTTTATCTCCCTATTTCGTAATACAATGCAATATGCTATGCTTTTCATGTTCATCAACTTGAACTAGGACAAAAATACGTTATTACAACATATTCTAACCGTTTGTGCACGTATCACGGTGTACGTGTCTATATCTAGTGTTTACTGACATCTCAGGTGTTAAACAACTCATAAACATTTTATCATGACAGTACAAGGTTGAGAGGCTCGCTCGACAACCCAAGCAATCGAAACAAACATACACAGGGCCACTTACAGATTAGTGGAATCAACACATAGGTAAAGGTACTAAACAGACAAATAATAGAAGTAGAGTAAAACCAGATATACACAGAAGAAGCATGAAAATAATACCGCTAGGGCTCGGTCGACCGTGGGCTAAAATTACAGGTTCTCAGGCTGGTTTTGTGTGTCGTGTTTATATCGTGTTTATGTGATTCAAACATGATTAAAACAACATGAAACTTGCATGAAAACATGTTTACAACAGATAAAAACTTCTGGGAACAAAACCAACATATATAGCATGATTATTTGCATAAAATTCATATCAAAACCCCTAATTCTTGCACATGAACTTGAAATAAAGCACAAATCATCTTTCATCAGATTTAAACCACTTTTAAATCATTTTCAGATCTTAATTACTTTTGTAAAAAAGCGTTATCAAACTTTTTAACATGGAAAGACCTAGTCTTTATTCATATAATACAAAGAATTAACTTTTATACATAAACTAGTCAATTTGGCTCTATAAAACATATTAAAAACTCTTTAAAAACGTTTTAAAAACTAGGAGGGGGATTAGTAGAGATGAACTCGCCTGGGGTTTGTAGAAAAATACTTAAGAAGCCAAGTCAAAGAAGATCTACAAGCCAAACGTCAAAAATCCTGCGAAAAATCCACTTGAAAGCCTCCAAACTTCTCCAATAATCAAAATAGGGTTTAAAGAGGTTTTGGTGGCTGTTAGGGTTCTTAGAAAACTGAAAATATCGTGAAAATATGATATACATATACCAGGAAACGGATATGGGCTTTAGAAAACCAAAACCAACTCAAAACAGGAAACAAGTCTCTGCAGGTTTCGCTGTCGACCGTGGCGGTCGACCGGACTGGTATTTTTCAGTTTTTTAATGTTTTTGACCGTTGTGCATGTTTCAACTCTTTTCTTTCTCATATATGAACTCCTTCATACTCAAAATACAAGGTATCATACTCATAGACCATTTAACTATATTTATTAAAATAAATATTCATAAATCATAATTAATCTTATATTAATTATATTAACATGAATTTTTTCGGGGTTTTACACCGGTCGACTTAGGAGTGTCGGCCTGTCCGACTGGTCGGAATGTCGTCTTGTCTCAGCTTAATAAACGTCTTTCGAGCCGATATAAAGATGTCGACTCGTTCGGGAGTTCTGGATCTCTTGTACGGGCTAGTATCGCCTCTTGTGTCGACATCCTGGTGTCGGCTTGATGAGTCGGTGGGGCCAATGCCTCTGTAATTGTGCCTTGGGTTTATCCCTCATAAGGTACCAATGTCTTGTAATTTAGCCATGATGGTCGAGTTGCACTAGAGGATTTACCATATGTTGTGCCTTGGGTTTGCCCTGAAAATGTACCAAGGGCTTGATATCCGACTGAAAAATCGAATGCCTAAAACTTTTGAGAGTTGACTAAGATTTTTATCGTATCATTTTGCGAATATTGTATCCTGGGTGAGTGAACACCATAACAAAACCACACTGGAAAAAAGTGAAATGACTGCAACACATGAAAATATTGTTTTTTGGGCCTTGACACAATTTTCCCTAAATTTATAGAAAAGGAACCAAACAACCCCCTAATACTATCTAGAGGTAAATCACAGTAAATCCAAGAGTTTTCAAATAACTTTCAAAATGACACTAAACTCTAAATAGCTTTTGCAAACATCCCCAATATCTTTGGGGTAATTTAGCTTTTGCAAACATCCCCAATATCTTTGGGGTAAATTACATTAAACCTCCGGCAAGTTTCAAATATGCCTCTTTTGTGTGTGTTTTTTTTGTATCTACAAAATGTGAAAACTTGGAGTTTTATACAATTCCAAAAGTTATTGAGAATTTATTGTTATTTTGAAAGTTATTGGGGTCTTCTGTAAAACGCTAAAAGTTCTGGGAAGTTTAGTATAATTTACCTCCTATCTAACAATGTATTAACTTAAGTACTTGATGGTTTATTCGTTAAATTCCTAAATAATTTCAAGTAAACATGAAAAACATACCTCACATTAACCACAAACATAAAAGAGAAAATCTAAGTCTTAACAAATTGTAATTTTATGACAAATTCCCCCCCAATTTTACTTAAATCGGTCATTATTACAGCAAACCCCCCCTTATAGTCTCGATCTATCCATCATCCTCACAAAATCCTCAAAACAGACGAAACCATCCCCATCCAAATCCACCCCCTTGATCATCCTCCTACACTCCTCGACCCCACACTCCTCCTCCCCCAATATTACGAAAATACCCCTCAGCTCCTCCGCCGAAATCTTCCCGTCCCCATCCGCATCAAAAACCCTAAACGCCTCCCTAATCTCCTCGACTTGATCGGATCCGATCGCCCCGAGCTCCTCCAAGCTCACGCACCCGTCTCCGTCCCGATCGATCTCGTCGACCATGAAAGCAAGCTCCCATTCAGTTAGCGGGTCGGGTCCGAGCTGGCGGAGCACCGCCTCGAGCTCGCGGTTGCTGATCTTGCCGTCGCGGTCGAAGAGGGTCAGGATCGAGCTCGAAGAGGAGGAGGATGAAGACGTTCGGGATCCGTTGGAGATTGAAGAGGGCTGATTCTTCCTCTTCTTCGATTTCTTCGAGAAGAGGGAGGGAATGTTGATGATGTTCCTCATGATCTTTTTGGGGCTTAGAGAGGGCGAGGGGAGAGGCTTTAAGGAAAGAGGGAAGTTTCGAGGAAGCTTCAGTTGGGGAATTTTCGGCGTTGATTTCTTCCTGTCTTGGTATGTGCTTAGCTTTCTTGATTTGATTTGTGGGGTTGGAGCATTGATAATGTCGTTTCTGTTTTTTTATTAAGAGTGATTGGACTTTGTGGAGGCTTGGAATCATTTTTTTAATGAGGCAAGGGTAAAGGGTTGGGCAGGTTGCTCCGTTTGGTTCCAAATTTTTTTTAGTGAATCCTTGACACAGCCCCTGTTTTCTGTCGGAAATCACTCCAAAATGTTATTTTTTGGGCGATTTGGGGTGAAACCCGCTACAGATGGGACACTGTGGCAGGCTTTCCCCTATTTTCACCCTAAAAAAATCGCTACCAAACAGCCCCTAAAACCGGCTATAGTTGTTTATTTAGAAATTTTAATTGGTAAGAGGAAGGAGTGAGTGGCACAGTGGGTTAAAAAAATAAGAAAATTCCTTTAATTTTTTTTAAGCTACCGCTTCGGTGCTCCATAGAGATTAGTTGGAGCAATAATAACATATCCGTAAATAAATTCTTTAAAAATAGCTCTCACAATTCTAGATAGATAGATTTGACGGTTATGAGGTGTTCCACACCCAAAATTGTAATTAACTATGGGTAATAAGGTTATTTTAGGAAATATAATTTATGGGAGAAACAGAATTTATCGTTAATTAGAATTCTTTAATTAACTATTAAAACCGAAACTTTTCTCCGCACTTTCCATTAGAAGAAACCGGTTAGACTCCAAAAAATCTCGTGAAGAGAAAGAGAACGCCATGAAAGGTACATCTTATTTTTCCTTTTTTAAAAAATTTAATTATATAGTATGATGTAGTTGTTAAGCCTTTAAATTTCTCGTTCTTCAAATCAGTAATCATTTGTTTTTCTATATAAAGATAGATTTTCTTTTGGAAATAGACTGCCTAGCGTGAGGATGGTTCAATTGGTTTCTAATTAACCACATTCGTGAGATTGAGAAGTAAATTTGATTGAATGGAAAAAAAATTGCAAACCGTGCAGGACATGTATTTTCTATTAGTATGCAAAAATAAGAAAAGCTACAAGTAAGGAAATTCAACCGATGCTTTTCTTTTTTTCCCTTTTTTTTCTTTTGTGCGGGTGGAACTGAGACGTGAGATTGAGAAAGAGATTTTTGAAAGACTAAAATACCCTTTCTTATTTTAGCTAATTTGTTATTTTTGTCAATTTAAAAATTAAAAAAAAACTATTTTTAGAGCACCGAAGCAAACCTCTTTTTTTAATTCTTCTGAAATGGAGGGATTGAAAGGGCAATATGAGTTTATGTGAAACTCCCTCACTATTCTTAAACTGTTCTTAGATTAAAAAAAAAGAACATTTAGATGCAATATTTCTTCCAATAAGTATATTGGTATTGTAACTCCCATTCTCTTTTCTTTTCTATTCTAAACAAATACAGATTGCATTAAATCCTCTCTCTCTTCTCATTCTCTATCCAAGTACAATAAATTTTATTTTATTCATTTTTCTACCACCTCCCTGACTGCGGTATACTTAAACCATTTCCCTCCTTCCCTACTGTCCTTTGTATCCGAACCCACTTAGGAGTAAGTAATATATACATACAAGGTTTATGCATGTATTTTTTATGGCATTTTGCGTCACCTTGATACGTAGTACCAGTGGGTCTAATGCCATATTTATGTTTCCTTTAAAAAAATATTTGTGTACACATATATATGTTTGCGTCGAAATTTGATGTATTCATTGCGATATTCATTATAACTTCAGTCGTTACAATGAAAACAAAAAAAAGATAGTCTTTTTATAAGACTATTACATAATGAAATAAAAAAATTACAACTCTCGTCAAAACAAACGCAGGGAGATCGTTTATCGGTGTTCTGCTTGTGCGTGATCTTTGTCTGTGCCGGGGATTTTACTATCTGTGGACCGCCTTAGATCTGGATCCGGTTGATGGAAAATTGGGCAGATCTTCGCTTTCACCGAGGGAGTATTTGATTGAAGCGCTGAAATCTACCAAGCAAAATCAGTCGCTCTTCTCGAGATTAAGACAAAGCCTAATCTCAAAGAACGGACGTACGGGCTTCAGATCCTTCGAATAGCTCCTTCTTTATGCTGGAGTTCGTCGGGATCTCGCGATCCTTCGAATAGCTCCTTCTTTATGCTGGAGTTCGTCGGGATCTCGCTAACCCTCGCTGAAATTCGTGACTCTTGGCTCTGGAGTTCGACAGCACCTCCTCCTCTTGATAATAAATCGCCCCCGTGAATTGAGCCCCTAGGTCTGTATTTATAGGCTTTGGTTGGGGGTTTTCGAATAAGAATGATGGATTCCTTCTTATCTTCAGTTAATAACTGATTAACCATGTTTAGAGATAGGATTTAGACAGTTAGGAACCCCTAGAACAGATAAATCCCGAGAAAACCGCTCAAAACCGTCGAAAACACGTCCGAGGATCAAAACAGCGCAACAGACGAATCCGCCCCGCGTTGGCGCGGGTCGGAGCACTATAGCACGGGGTCGGAGAACTATAGCGGGGGTACTGTAGCACGAGCCGGATTACTGTAGCACGAGCCGGATACTATAGCACGGGCCTGATTACTGTAGCACAGGCCTGATTATTGTAGCACGGGCCTGATTTGAGCGTCCCAGAGTTACTATAGCGACCTTAACTCACTCATCCGACCTCGGAATGAAGTGATTCAATATGCGTTGGAAAGCTGACGAAGAGACCTTCAACTTTAATCTTTTAGATTTTTCCAGATCCAATTTGTATCATGGTCAAAATATCAATCCTTTGTGCGGGCCACTTTGAGGTGTTTGACACTTTCTGACTTCTCTGGACTTGTATTGCGCATTTTGTCATTCCGTTGACTTGTACACTCCAGTGACTCACTTTGTATATTCGCTAGCTTCCACGGAGCCGGATAATCATTTTTCTGACTTGAATGATGATGCTTATCGTTTGCATTTCGCCTCGAGCTGCGTACGGGAAACTTGTAGGTAATTTTAGACGCCTACAATATATATATGAGAATAATGAAGGTGAGCTGGCAGCTCACCTCCCCCGTGAGCTTCAAGTGTATGACATGTGAGCCCCACACCGATATGACTAGTAGGGGGCTCACATGTCATACACTTGCAGCTCACGGGGGAGGTGAGCTGCCAGCTCACCTCCATTATTCTCTCCCTCTCTCTCTCTCTCTCCCTCTCTCTCTCTCTCTCTCTCTCTCTTATATCATAGTATTTGCAAAATTACCTTTTGAATCATTAACTTTGTGAAAAAAATATTCTTATGATCAATAATCTATCAATTTTACTGCTAAATATTTAACTATTTTATTTGTAATTTTTACATTGTGCTTATAAATTAACTTATCAAAATTAATGAATAATTGCTTCGAAGTTTAAATACTTATACTGTCCAAGGAGACTGGCAGGCTTCAAGCTCTGTGGAAAGCAAATAGGAAATTGTTCAGCTACTTTCCAATAATCTAACAGGGAAAAACATCAACCTAGTTATGTGCAGCTCTAATTTATTTACAAGGAAGTCCAAAGTATCAGCTCATCAGCAAACTTCTTGGAGAACAATAACAGGCCACGTCACGCGAAAAGACAAAGAGACAGAGAAAAGAAAAGAGCTACTTGCTTAATGCTACTGATGGAACTGCTTCCTGTGAGGTTCCCTGACGAGCTTGGACAAAATACAGCAAGTTCCAGTGCAAGTGCAAGTGCAAGTGCAGCATGGCCAAGTGTTTGTGGAAAAAAATTCCTCGGATTTTTGGATATTGATAGGCCTGTCCCCGTTCGGTCTGGGCCTAGAAATATGGATCCGAGCTGGGCAAAACATGTGGCCTGGGTCCTAGACCCGCACCCGGACACAGGGTGTCCGGACCGGGCCAAACCGTGCCGGGCTTCGGATCAGCCTAAATTTTTTTGTTTTTTTATTTGTTTGGTAAAAATTTGCTTAAAAATTAGATTAATGTTATTATATTTATATAAGTATATATAGTATATATTTACATATTATTATATAGTTATATATTATATATACATATATTATATGTAAATATATTGTATATACTTATAAGTTACAACTTGAGAGAGAGAGAATCACATAAATATATATACTTATTTATAGTACGTATTATATAGTTATATATATGTATTTCTTACATACTTACATTATCCTTATTTAACTACAGTTATACACTTTACTTATATGATATACTTTTGTATATACTAGATGCAATATACTTATACTTATGTACTTACATATACTTATATAACTGTAATTCTATAAATATACTTATAACTACATTATATATATTTACATACTTATATCTTAGTATCTATATCATGCTATGAGGTGGTATAATCCTCTCCACTCATTCAAATGGTTGCATATCCACATACACTTCTCAACTCATGTGAATGTGGTCCCACATTTGAATGAGTGAGGGGATTGTGACCACCTCAAACTACCAAGCGACAAATTTGTGGCTTGATACCAAAACATACCCATATTTTCTCTCTCTCTCTCTCTCTCTATATATATATATATAATAATATATATATAATATTATATATATATATATAGAGAGAGAGAGAGAGACTTGCGTACTTAAATATAATCAACTATATACACTTACGACTACGAAGCCACGACCATTTTCCTAAAAAAACCCATATATAATTAGAAATTATATGTATACATTACCTGACCATATCATAATATAATTATATATAAAAATATATATAATATATATAATATATATACAATATATATAAATATATACAATATTATATATATATATATAATATATATATATATATATATATATATATATATATATATATATATATATATATATATAATATATATATATATATATAAATATATATATAATATAATATTATATATATATATTATATATATATATATATATATATATATATATATATATATATATATATATATATATATATATATATATATATATATATATATATATATATATAGAGAGAGAGAGAGAGAGAGAGAGGAGAGAGAGAGAGAGAGAGAGAGAGAGAGAGAAAT